ATATATTTAATTTATTGGCACCTTTAATGACACTCAAGGACACCTTACATATACACAGAATAACACAATAAAACAGATACACAACAATAAAAACAGACATGAATACAAACAATACACAACTACAGACTAATACAATTAATCAGATAAATTCAAAGAGGTGAGTAGGGTTAGGGTTAGAACAGGGTTAAACAGGATTTGAAGGTGGGGGGAGAGTCAGGTCCACTGATGGCTTGTGGGAGAGAGTTCCAGAGGCTGCACAGCTGAAGGCTCTTGACCACATGGAAGACAGCCGGGCAGGAGGTGAGGTGAGGAGCAGGGAGGAGGAAGAGAGTATGGGTGGGTGTGTAGTTGTGGAGGAGGTCAGAGAGGTAAGGAGGTGCCATGTTGTGCAGAGCCTTGAAAGTGAGGAGGAGAATCCTGAGACTTTAGAACTTAATTCAAATATAATACACACACACATACATATCTCTATCGATCTATTTATCGATCTATAAATAGTTTGATATATATCATGAAACATGAGACTAATTCTCTTACTTTGAAGGTGAGCTCAGTTTCCGGCTCTGATGTTTGTGTTTCAGATGAATGTCAACAAACCTCAGCTGATACCTGGAGAGGGTTGCCAGACCCGGAGTGTCATCCCCCGTTCACACTGAGAGAACGCACAAGTAAAACAGCTGGAGATACTGGCCTCTGATATATTATTATTATAAATATATAATTAACTTTGTTAATGCAGCACAGTTTCAAACAGCTTCATGTGATTAAAACAGGATCCAAACTTTTCAGGGAATACAAAAATAACTGACTAATGAATCACAAAGGTACTATATCAAAACAATAACAATAAAAAAGACAAATATATATTTGCAGGTAATACAATAACATTAATAAAAACCTTTTTAACAGGATGTGTTGTGAGTATGAAGCATCACTGATTCTGTACACGCCCTAATCCTTTTATTAAGTTCACCTGCTTCTTCATTTCATTTTCCAATCAGCCAATCACGTGGCAGCTGCTCAGCAGGTTCTGATCCAGGTGAGAATCTGCAGTTAAATAAATCTCATCTTATTTCTACTGGCAATCATCATAACAACCAAGTACATGTTAACGTTCACGATCACTGACAGTTAATGTTAACTCAAAATGTTATATTTCATCTGCTAAAGCACACACATGTTCTATAAAACTGTCTAACTTCATTCAAACTGTTACATTTAAAGGCAGAAATCAGATTCTGAGCCTCTGAATGGCACAAAAACCAATATTACAAATATTTTCCACTTTGCTGAGACTAAGAAACAGCTGCTCCACTGTCAAACTCCAGTTCAGAGATGTGAGACGCCTTCAGGCAGGAACACACGAACAGTTTCACTTCACTCAGCTGGTTCCTCTGATCACACAGAGACAATATGACGCCACCTTCAGGCGACCAAATGAAACGCACCATTACCCTCAGATTAGCTCTCAGCTAGGTAAAGCTAACTGCTAGTTAGCCGCAGGTTAACGCTGCTCTTTATCTCACACTGTTAGCTAACTCATGCTAACTGCTGGTTAGCTGCAGGTCTTCACTAACTCAGCGTGTTTCTTCAACAGACACGTGGTTCAGAAGTTTTATTGTTGTTTTCTCATCGTGATTCAATTTGTCCTGAAAAAAACCTAGCCACTGAAACGCCCGCCTCTGATTGGCTAATATTCCTCTTACGTGGGCTGGGTTTAGTAATAAAACGTCACGATTGGTTACAGTCAGAGGGAGAAACTCCGGATAAGCCAATCAGAGGCAGAGCAGGGGCGGGTCTTGCTGCGAAGGGGAGAAGCGTCACTTCCTGTCCTGCGCAGAAGCGACGACACACCAACATGGCGTCGGCGGCGGAGAAGTCAACGAAAGAGCGGCTGCTGACGGTGCTGGACGATCTGGAGGTTCTGTCCCGGTGAGGCCACCGGAAGCTGCTGTGGTTGACGGTGTTTCACGCGGCCGCTGTTTTCTTTCTCATCCGGTCTCTGTGTTGTTTCAGGGAGCTGATCGAGATGTTGGCTCTGTCCAGGAGCCAGAAGCTGCCTCAGCCCGGGGAAGACGTCCAGGTAAGAGCAGGAGGACACGGGGGAGTCCCCGGGGGACGGGTGAGACACAAGCAGGGTCAGTAGTGACGGGTGTTTGTCCACAGCTCCTGGAGCTGCTGGTGCAGAGGGACCGGGAGTTCCAGGAGCTGATGGAGGTGGCTCAGCAGCAGGGGGCGGTGCACCAGGAGATGCAGCTGCTGGAGAAGGAGGTGGAGAAGAGAGACAGCGACATCCAGCAGCTCCAGAAGCAGCTGAAGGAGGCCGAGCACATCCTGGTGAGTGACCCCGGGCTGTGTCCACGGGCCCTGCGTCTGTCTCTAGCGCTTCACTGTTGGTCTGAGGATGTTCAGAAGATGTTTGTCATTTAAAGCTGGACACAGGACAAACAGTGAAACCGTCTTCAGAGTCACATTGTGATGTTGTTTTCTGTGTGAACAGCTGTTGACACGTGAAACCTCAGATCAGTTAACAGTGTCCTCCTCTGTCTCTTTTTAAGGCCACTGCTGTTTACCAGGCGAAAGAAAAACTCAAATCTATTGACAAAGCCAGGAAAGGTGAGCTAACACCTGTCTCACCCACACTGAGGTGCTGAACGTTTGTCCTCGGTCTTGAGTTGTTTCCTTTTTCTCCACAGGAAGTATCTCATCAGAAGAAATCATCAAATATGCTCACAGAATCAGCGCCAGCAACGCTGTGTGTGCTCCTCTCAACTGGGTACCAGGTAAGACCAGTTGCCTCTGGTCACCAGCAGGAGTTCTGCTTCACTTGGCTGTTAACTCTAACGTTTGTCTCAGGTGATCCACGTCGACCGTACCCTACTGACCTGGAAATGCGCAGCGGGATGCTGGGTCACATGGCCAACATGCCGACCAATGGTGTGAACGGACATCTGCCTGGTGATGCTCTGGCTGCTGGAAGGTTACCAGGTAACTGAAGCTCTTTTTCCACTGGTCAGAACACGCTCTAATCCTCCCAGTTCATGTCTGAATAATAATATCCACTCCTCCTTTGTCTCCCTAGACGTCCTGACGCCTCACTACCCCTGGCAGTCCTCGGACGTCTCCGTGGGGATGCTGCCTCCTCACCACGGCAACGACTTCGGCCTCGAGCCTCCGGGTCATAACAAGGAGAACGAGGACGATGTGGAGGCCATGTCGACAGATTCCTCCAGCAGCAGCAGCGATTCCGACTGAGGAACTGTGTGTGTGGTCACCACTGAGCAACATCTGGTCAAACCTCTTCACCTCTGCTCATTTACATTAAAGTGGAGACTCCAACAAGTTAAAGCATGAGACCAAGTGTTTTTATGTGACTCTATCATCGACTTCAGGTAAAACCTTCTGAGCAGCACGTGTCTGCAGCTGTTTCCTTCCTTTTCTTTCACCTGTGGACTGAGTCATGCTAGCTGTTTTCTCCTGTTTCCAGTCTTTATGCTAAGCTAAGCTAACCAGCTGCTGGCTGTAGCTTTATATTTACTTCACAGTAAAGAGGCCGATCAGTCTGAACCTGGTGAACTCAGTGTGTGTTTCCCCAAAATGTCCAACTGCTCCTTTAAAGAGCTTCAGTCTGCACCAGTCTGAGACGTTAGATTCCTACAAACCAGAGCACCTTTGTTTTTCAGGTTCCCTTGTTGCTATAATTCAGACAGTTTGGTTTAAACTGAATGAAAACAAAGTGAGTCCAGCTCTTATCGTCTACATGAACAGAATCAGTCTGATGTTCTGAAAAGATGAGGTCAGTCTGAGTGACGTCAGATCACAGGTCTGTTCACTGCAGCCTGTATTTCTTAGTATGATACAGATACATGGTGTTATTTTACCTTTGTGTAAATAAGCGTGTACATACTCCTCCCTGTAAATAAATCCTTCTTTTTAAAATGGTCTCTTTGTTTTTGTCTGTGGTGGAAATCTGGTGCTGTGTGAGTTTCCTGCTGAGGGCGGCTCAGGTAACTCCCACCTGACGAGCTGCACCGAATCATATGAATGAGTCATTTTACCTACTGTTGATTTAGTTAGAAATTCATGAAGCTGCAGAAACTAAAGACACAGGATCCAAACATTGAAAGAAGAGAGTGACAGCTTCATTACTTCACCAGACACCCACCAACCAGGACTCAAAGAGTTCAACAATGACAGAGGTTATGTTTTCACTTTCTGTATGTTTGCAGGATCATGGGACAAAAAACTATTCAACTGATCCTAATAAAATAATGTGAAGGGGTCCGACATGAGCCAGGGAAGAACCCATGAAATGTTCAGTTTGTCCAGATCAGAGAGAAGAGCCAGGGATCTGTAATCCCTCTTCAACATGGAGAGTGGGACCTTTGTCCTTTTTACATTTTCATTGATTTGTCAGAGAAATAATTAATTGATCCTGATGAATAACAATCTGAAATATTTGGAGAATGGTATGTATGATATTTATGAGTGGGGGGTGTTGGTGCAGAGTCAAATACAAATGTGGATCTAGTGAATTTAAATATGTGGTCATAAGTAGACTATTGGTGGAGTGTGAACTCTGATGACACAGTTGATCATTGGACAGAGCTTCATCTGAGGATTAGTAATCTGAGTACTTCCTGTTGCTGCAGGTTAAAGGTCAGAGGCTATTTACATTGACACTGACCGTGCTGCGTTCAGGGTCTCTCTGTAAACTCCCAGTGTGTAATCAGGGACACTGGTGATGCATGTATGTTGTATGTATGTATATGTACATACATGTGTTTTGGTTAAAGATATAATCAATTTATATTCCTGTTTCAAACCATGATGTTATGAAGACACTCACCAGGCACAGCACAAACCTAGACATTCATGTACCAATAAATGTTGTTGCCTCTCAACAAACATCTGGAACAGAGTTTTATTTTAAAATACCAGCAAAGGAGGAGGAACACTTTTACTAGAGTCAAAGTATCAATACAACAACGTAGAAATACTCGTGTGCGTGTTTCCTAGTCGTGCGTTTACTTTGAGCTTTTATTTTGGAACGACTTTCCGGCCCCTCGTGAACGCAGCGCAGTGAGACCGCTGGGTTCACGGCGCATGCGCAGCATTTCTCCGCAGAGAGGAAACATGGCGACGTCCCTGATCTGCAGCCGCCTGACGGCCGGCCTGAGGAACTCAGGGGCCCGGGGCTCCGTCAGCTCCGCGTCCAGGGTGAGTGTGTGTCCGGCCTGGGGAGAGCAGGTCCGGCGGTGGGAGCCGGGGTGCGTGTCCGCGCTGCGGCTTGTTTTTCGGCCACAGAGGCTCAGAAAGTGTCGGGGTCGGATTTGACTTTCATCGGGTTCCAGATTGTTTTCGCTAACATGCTAAGTAGCAGGGGAAGCTAACTGTAGCGCGGGCGGCTGTCAGCGCCGCGGAGCCCGGGCTGACTCACAGCAGCAGCCGCTGACCTCCACCCGGGGCTCCCTGCGACATCTGCCCCGCCGTGTCCCCGTCCTCCGGACAGAAGCCGCCCTGCCCCGGGACACCGACTGTCCCCGCAGAGACAGGCCGTGATTCGGGGGGGACACCGGGGCTGTGACCGCAGACATGAAGACCTAGAGACGAGTCAGATCAGGAAGCACATACACCTCTGGCAGTGTGCACTTCTAATGAGATATATATACATATACA